GCTGAAACAGATTTACTCTTTGAATGACACACATTTCCTATTACTTTTAATAAGTATTATGCGTGTGTTTGGAGAGAAGCAAATCCAAATAATGGCTACTTTTATGAGTAAATGTTCCCTATTGGATTCAATAAATCTAATATAAACAAACCCCACATTTAGCTTCTGAACTTTATATTATTTTGAAGTAGTTAGTTATTAATAACCAGGGATCCAGGTTTTCTGTTTACTGCAGAAAAACACGGATTTTCTCTTTTAAGGAGAAAAATGCAGGAAACCATGGTTTCCCCTTGCAGGCTGGCAGAGTTCCAGCCTGCAAGGGCTGCGAGGAGCAGGATGCAGGTGACACCATGTGCATGTTTGTGCACATGCATGTGGCCAGCAATACAGCCAGGTAGTAGTCGAGCTGCCTGCAGGTAAGTCTATGGTTGGGGGAGACGCAGATCGAGGTGGTGGCAGCAGTCACAATGAGGGAGGCAGTGAGGCAGGTTTGGCAGCAGGCCATGACGCCATGGCAAGGTGCCCCCTGCCCACCCAGCAGCAGTGAGGGGACACAACCCCAGGCAGCCATAGCCACTCCCACTGCTGCCAGGTGGGCAGGGGGCGTTTCGCCATTGTGGCGCACTGCTCCCAATAGCAGCAACGGCACCAAGTCTTGCTGTACCACTCCACCCTCCTGCACTCGGTCCTGCCCACTGGGCCATGAAGGACCCAAGGGAGAGCAGCAGGGCAGGTAGCCCTGCAGCAGGCAGCCTGTATCCTCCCCACACCTGCCATGGGCTCCACTCTGGCTGTGCCACCCACAGGGGGGGCAGGGTCTCTGTGCTCTACTCCATCCACAGCTGCTGCTGCTGCTTCCCACATGCAGAAGGCTTGGGTGCTGCTGGCTGGCTGCAACTGGCACTCACAGAGCAGGCAGGATGCAGCTGCTGGGTCCCATAGCTCTGGCAGCTGAGGGCCCCATCTGGCAGGACTGGGGGGGACAGAGGACTGTGGGCCAGAAGTGAGGGGCCCCACTGGTAACAGGGGGGCTGCAAGTTGGAAGTGAAGGGCACCAGCAGGGCTGGAGGGGTGAGGGGCTGTGGTTTGGGAGTGAGAAGCACTGGAAGGGATGCGGCTGTGGGTCGACAGTGAAGGAGATGAGCAAAGATGAGGCTGCAGGTCGGGAATGGAGGGAAACCATAAGGGTTGAGCAGAGAGGGGGGAGCTGTGGTTGGGAGTGAGGGGGACCATGGGCAGGCTGAGTTCTGATTTTCCATGATCAAAAAAATAAAAATAAAAATAAAATGCCAAAACATATAGGTATTTAGAATTTATTTTATTATAGTGACTGAGGCACTGGTAGGCTTCCATATTTAGAATTGTATATATATAGTGGCATTTCATTTTAATTGCGGAAAGATGTGGATTTTTAGGTTTTTAAATCAGAGAATTTGGGGGGGGGGGGGTTTTTTTTATATTTGGGGTTTTTAAACGGAGAAAACCAGGATCCCTGCTAATAACAGAGTACCTACTGGATTGGTGTGTTGTCATTTTAAATCAATATATTTTACATACAACCTACTTAGTATTTGTGCACTTACTTATAACATCCAAAAGTAAAGAACGTAATTGATAGTAATGGAGACAACCAACCTCGTCTATTTTCTTTCTTGTTCTTTATTTCTGCTTCATAATGTGCTTTTGACATATTAAGTCCTGTGTGCAATGGCTTTAAGAAATTCTGTGTAACCTTGGTGAGTATAGTCCATACACCAGTCTATTCAAATCAGAAAAGAAAAAATATTGCAAATCAGTTTTTACTGCAGCAATGAGATACGAAATGCAGCAATGAGATACGAAACCTCAGAGCACAACTTCTTTCTTGAGTAGTTTTTATAACAAAATCTCCTTTTCAGGAGGAGAAAAGATTTAGACTCATGTAGTTGTAGTGACCTATATGTTGTTGAATTTTCCTGACTTCCTCTGGCTATTTACAGCAGCATTTACCTTCCTTAAACTGGAGCTGAAGTATCTCAAAACTGGTCTTTAAAACATCACTGCTGCGCCCACATCCTGCACCCCCAACCCCAAGTCCCATGACTTTCGCCCTGGCTGGGCAGCTTGTCCCAGCACCAATCCCTCCCTCCCCCACCATGCCCTCCCTCCCCCACCATGCCCCTTCCCTTTCCACTCTGCAAACCCCAACAGACTTGTTAGCTGCCTATTTAGTCTATGGCCAAATCACCAAATCTTTTTCTGAATTGATTCAAAGCATCCGAATAGATTCAGAGCTCTTAACTGGTCTCACGATTCAATTTGGATTTGCAGATTCAGTCCCTGAATCAGGCCGAATCTCCTCTGCATCAAATCGGCTACCAAAGCTTTGCACAGCCCTAAGTATATATCTTTCTTCAAAGTATGGTATATTCTGCTTTAAATGAAAATGTACCCAAACCTAAACAAATAAGTGTTGAAGTCCACAGCAGACTGGAAATACTGTTACAAGATGTAAATAACTTAAAATGATAGCTTTTGATGGCCATTATTACTTGATTTAGTTCTGCAAGTCTGTATTAATACTAACAGCACTATCAAAATTATCAGAATGCTGAAGTTTTAAACAACTGGTAAGAGGCAGGTTGAACTTTAGCTATGTAAACTAAGGGTTACAGCACTGGGCAAATGAGTATTTTATTTTAAACCCTCTTTCAGAAAAGGCTGGAAGCAATCTGGCATGTGAGAGGGCTGAGACAGAATAATGTCTGTTTTTCTATTCTAGCATCTCTGGGCGTAGTTCCAACAATGGATAAGTACAACCACTCTAGGCTTCTGCTAAAATAATCAGCAGTGAACAGTTAAAGTTGATAGTTAAAATAACCATGTTTCACAACTAGCACCCCATTAAGATATAAAAGAAAGCTTAGATTCTGTGGCAAGTATCACACTCCCAGAATATACAATGAACTATGTATATTGCATCTGGCACAAAGTGCTTTATAGATAGGTTGACCATATGTCCCGGTTTGACCAGGACACTCTAGGATTCTGTAGCCCTGTCCTGGCTGGTAGGTCAAAAGTCCCAGACCTGAGTCTGGCAGGCAGGTGGCTGGGCAGGCTCTGCTGCTCCTGTGTAGGAGCAAGGCAAGTGGGTGGGAGCAGGTGCCACCCCACCCACACATGGCAAATCCTTGCTCCTACACAGGAGAAGCAGTGCCTACCCAACCCTCTGCCTGGCGCACCGTGTCATTCCACCTCGCCAGACTCTGGCCCAGAACACTTGACAAACTGGCCAGGACCAGGCTATGGAATCCTGATGTGTCGCAGCCAAACCGGGATGTGTGGTCACCCTATTTATAGAAAAATTACTGGATATGTTACCTGTCCCAAAGGTTTGAATTCTCAATTTGCTTTCAAATGGATCTGGCTTCCTGTGTACATAACAAAGTGGATCACTTTCAGGTACTTTTTTTTTAATTCCTTTTATTCTTAGCATTGCAGAACTAACATGTCTTATAGAACTCTGCAGTACTCTAATCTGGTCAAATACAGAATTGTTAGCTAAGTAGCCAGTGCAGGGCCAAAATCTACTATGAGCTACATCTGTGATACTGTTTTACTGCAGTTGCAATAAAATACATGATCATAGGGATTTGACCCCCACTGTTTTGGATCCAGTATAAACGCAGAATATAGACAATCCTTATGTCCAGGAGCTTGCAATCTGACACAAAAATGCTGAAGGGTAAGAGGCGAGGATGCAACATACAAGCAGATAAATATGGTGAAGAACTAGCACAGCTTTAGCTAGTTCCACAGACTTTAAAGCTGGTACAGTAAAAGCTCTGTTATCTGGCACCCATGGGGAATGGGAGGTGCCAGATAACCAAATATGCCTGTTACCTGAGAGGCCCAAATAGGCATCCTTTGCCTGTTCGGGCCACCGCCCCTCCCACTGCATCCAGTACGCTTTCGCTCCTCCATGGTGTCAGTATGCCGGGGGATAGGGAGGAGGGTCCCGCGTAGGCTACTTTGCCCTGGGCCACGGGGGCTCGGCAGCACAGACTTCTTTGCCCCAGGTTGTGGGGGCTCAGCAAAACTGGAAGTGCCAGGGCGGGCACTTCCGGTTTCGCTGCATAAACTGGCATGCCAGTTAATGGAGAATGCCAGTTTCTAAGGTGCCAGATAACGCGGCTTTTACTGTATTCGTTTTTTCTTTTCAGGTAAAATATAGTATGCAGGATTTAGTCCTAATGATACATATGCCAGAAATCACTTTTTGGACTATCTAATCCATGAAATATTTGCAAGAATACAGAGGGGGGAAAATGACCTGTAGGTTTAGCTAAGTGGATTTTAAAGTCATTGAAGAAACAGTGAAAATCTGTCAATTTTTAAAAGAAAATTTGTTTTTTTACCTAAATTATGTGTTTTTATTCTTGTTTTTGTTGCTGTTTATAAATGTCTGCTATCCATGGAAGGTTAACCTTTCATCAAAAATGAACTCCCCAAACCAAAACATACTGCAGTGGCAATACCAAATCAGAATGTCATGCAAATTATAGTTCAGCCCCATGTCGCCATTCATTTCTGTAGGCCAGGTTTCCCAGCCAGATTATCTCAGCAGTACTGGTTTAACTCATTTTTAATTGTGAGAATAAAAATCTGACTTCACCAATATGTATATTGCCACAAATTCTATAGCGGATAATAGTTTGAAATCAATAGGTGATAACTGGAAGCTCAATTTGGTCCGCAACACACTGGTGATGCATGAGAGCTAGAAATTATAGAACAAAGTTTCCAGTTCCCACCCTTGCAGACTCGCTTCATCTTAAATACTGTTCATGAGCAAAAATCTTTTACCATGCAGATTTTGATGAAACTGCTAATGCCAAATGAACCAAGAAACAAAACAGCATTTCTTAAAAGGTCACCAATACTTGCGCCTCATATACTCCTGCACCATCATGCTACAGGAGTACTCTAACTCTATTAATTAAAAGTTCATGACCCTTTAATCGCATATGAAACTAGGGAGTTGTAAAGTCACCAATAACCCTTTCTCCAATGTTGGTTTTCTATGTAAATGGAATTAAGAAAACAAAGAAAATTAGCTCAAAGTGTCAGCTGAAGGTGTGAATTTTAGCTTATAGTATGGTGAAGTTTTGTTGTAGCCATAATGGTTCAGAAATAAGCAAAAGCAAGAGTTTTTTTGGTCTTATCTTCTATTGCACCAACTGTATAGTTGGGAGAGAAAAGATAAGCTTTTGGTTACAAAGTGCCCTTCCTCAGGTCTGACCAGTAGTAAATTAGTTTTAACTTTGTATCTGAAGGTGTTTATATTCAGATTTAGTTTCTAGAATATATCTCAACGTACATTTTCATGCAACTTAACTCTGCCATGGATGAGCAATTCTACCCATCCAATGCGAGCCCCCAAGGTAGCGGAGGCATCTAAAAAAGTATTAGAGGGAAGACTGTCACGGCATGGGCATGTTCAAAGAAGTCCAGAAGAATAATGGGAAAAGAAGTTACCAGAATGGCACTGCTAGGGAGAAAGGGAAGAGGAAGACTGAAGATGAGATAGACAGAGATAGTGGAGAGGGACATGAGAGGGGAGGAGTTGGAAGAAGATTTGTAATGACTGAAGCCAGAGGACAGCCAGGATCCGCAAAAGCGACCCTGTTTAGACAGGACAAATGAGGAAAGAAGTAGTAGTACTTTTTCATGTCATTTGGCATAGGTTCTTTTTATCATTGCAAACTATTTTTCTAAGACCTACATTACAAATTTGAAATAATAAATTAATCCCACATCATTAAGTCTTTATGCACTTTTGCTCTTTCCCGCACTTTCCTCCTTTTGGGTATCCATCTCTAACATCACAGACATAAGATATATCATTCTTAATATTTAGTGGAACAGCTGGAAGATTATACATGGAAACATCTGAACTTACAGGGAAACAAGCACTTCCCCTCAACTACAGTCCAAGCTGAGAGTAGAAAGAAAAGTCAAGAAAAACTGGTAGAGCTAGCAATTTAGAGAAAAATTCAAGACAGATTATTCTGTGTTCTTCTCATACCGAACACAGGGACATTGTTTGGACATTGTTTATGTCAGACACTAGACAGCACTATTTACATCTAATGAAGGAATCGATATACAGCAGCATAATTGCAATAAAACAGGGATTCTCTCTTTTCTTACAAAGCTATGCATTATGAAACTTACCCCTCAATGGAGCAGAACTTTTACAGATACTTAAACAGGAATTGTTCCAGAAATATGAGAAGAGGATGTAGCCACTTTTAATCATGTTTAATTACAAAATTATTAAGCTAAAGTGCATCAGTTGATAGCTATTTATACTACTTAATTTAGTTACTGCCTTGTCAGTGTTGGTCGCTACAACTATTTGAATTTAAGTTTATATTTATTCTTCACTCTATCTAAGCTAATAATAATTCTAAGCTTATATATTATTTACAAGAGATCTCAAAGTATTTAGAGAAGTGGGTAAGAATTATATTCTACATTTTGAATACAAAGAAAATGACACAGATAATCTGTACAATATTGCAAAGCAAATCAAAAGGTAAAACTGGAAAAGAACAAATCTTCTGATTATCAGGCAGCTGTCATATCTGCTAGACCATGATGTCACCCATACTAGTTAGAGAATGTTTAGATCAATTACTTTAAAATGAAAAGCAAAATTTTTTTTTCCATTTTGTTTCTCTTTAAAACCCTTTCTAATAAAAACACTGAAACAAATATCAAGGAGATGAGATGATACTGGTGGCTAATAGAAAGCTATAAAACTGTATGAATTAGGGGAACATTAGTGTTCAGTGACTTAGGAAACAGAGAGCCAATATAACTTGCATTTATTATTGGGATAAATAGCCTCTCAGTACTGGAGTGCAGTCAGAAAATCAAATATGTAAAATCACAAGAGCTCTTCAATCTTCAGTACTGTAGCTCAGTTATGCAGGCTACAGCACTGAAAGAAATTATAGGTCTATTGCTGGAAATGCAACCCTGATGTTAAGCCAGTTGTGAAATTAAAATATAAATTGCTCCCTTGTCTTGGTTATCTAAGAACATTTGTCCATCTAAGTGCAGCTGCATGGAAGTGACTGCACACAAAAAAAAGATTGATCATAAAAATTACATTGAAAATTCACTACAACGGTTGAATAATAAACATGGCCCACAATGATATGAAATAATGCTACCAACCACTGATGCACTGCTTCAGATAAGGAAAAGAAGATGGGGGGATAAAAAAGAAAGACAAGGAAATTCTGCTAAGTGTTTAAAATTAATGACATTCTATAATCCTACTTTAAAGTGAATCTGATTAAAAATTACTGCTGCTCATATAAAATTGTAAACAGCTAGAATCTAGCACACAATAAAGTAAAAGAAACCCTTAAAATTCCTATCAACAGTACAGAAATACATCCTGGATTATTATTAAAAAGTGAAATGGTTAAACCACCCCACCTCCAAAAATAAAGATTAAATGGATTAAACAGCATGTATTTGTCAAAAACACACAAGTGCAAAAACCCTGCCCACAGCCAGAGCAACATATAAATCTGCAAAATCTGAATGATGCATTCTAAACTGTGCTGCCCCTAGGGGAAGTAATGCACCTGTTTTTTCTTCCTTGCAGAGAATTTATCCTGAAAAAAGTAAAAAACAGCTCAATAAAACATATTCACCACAAGCAATTATAGTATTGAAATTTAGTTCAATTTCCTCCCTAATCCTTTTTGCCAACATTTTAGCTCCTTTGTTGGTAAACCTTCATTGTAACATGGGGAACTGGGATTTCACAACATGGAATACAATGCTAAATAGAGAGAAAGTAAAAAGGAGATATTTCATATTGCTTTACTAGCAGGAAAGGGGAAAATTTAAGGAGACTTATGAGGCTACCTTTTTATTTCCATCTCTGGCTTAAGATGTTCAACATTTCTGCTAAACTGGGACAGGCATATCTTTCCTTTTGTTATCTCAATAAGGTGAATCTTAGTGGCAAACAACTCAGTGGAGTTGTTAACATGTATTGAGAAGTCAGCTGGCAAAATGTTTGGAAATACAGAATATTTCTTTCCCATAGTTAGACATAAAAACTATTAAATGCAGAGTTATCAAAATGCTTATGGAGAAAACCAGCCACACGGACAAATTTTCTTCTTGCATGTTGAACAAAAGGTACAGAATATTGCTTAAAGACAAATGATCAAACCGTTTCCTAAAACACAGAAGCAACTTAAAAACTCTTACAGGTTTTGAAGAGATTAATTCTAGAGTGCTCTACTATGTTTTGGGGAATTTAAACCTTCTGGGTCTTCTATCTACAAATAAATTAGATTAAAATATTAAATATATTCACTTTTTTGGAATCTTGATATAGACTTTATAATATGATGTCCTCTGGGTTATGAAAGCAGACCATAATTTGGATGGAGCAACAGTTGGATAAATTTGCTTAAAATAATAATCAGTGAGAAAGCATTTAAACTAAAGTACTAGACTAGTATTAATATAAAGTAAATAATGCACCAAAGCTCTCATAACACTTTTAATACAAACATTTCCCATTAGAATACCACAGAAAAAACATTTTTGAAGAAATAATATTAGGACTTTCTTGTTAATTTTTCCAGCTACTGTTTTTAAAGTTAAAAAGATGGCTTTTCAAATCAGTTATCACTTACTTGATTGTCATGTTCATTATCTTTAATGACTAAGTATCTCAGTAGATTTAGTGCTGCCATAATCCTATGAATTAGAAATGAACAATCATTTTGAGTCTACATTTACAGTAAGACAGTAACTTAAACTGTTTAATAGCCATACATCTTTTTAAAAAAATATATAAATCAATACAAAAATATAGCCATTTATCTGTTCAGTAACATAGACCAACCTAGTTCTCCCCCCCATTCCCCCTCCACTGGCTTGAGAACAGAGTCAGAGAAAGAGCTGAAGCAGTTGTGGAGAGGTTCACTCCTTGATATAGAATAGGACAATGATATCATCCGCACATGAGCTCTCTCATGCACCCCACAAGGGACTTTTCTGTAGCTTCCTTAGTTTCAAGGTAATGCAATCATAATTACTTTAATAGATAGTGAATACAACTGAAAGAAAAAGAACTAGCTAATTTAAATGACCACTCCTATCTAACACACTGTGGGCGCGTCTACACATCACCCTATGGTGACATCGTTACTGTGCCGTGAGCTAGTACTTCCTTTTGGAAGTACTAAAACACAGCACAGTAACAATCCATACTGTGCTGTGCACAGTTAGTTTTAGCTGCTACTTTGCCGTAGTGGAATGCTAAAACAGGGGAGTGCGCCACTGTGGCAAAGTAGCTGCTGGTCACATGTAGACTCACATGATCGCTACGTCACCACAGCAGGTTATACAGCAACATAGACTGATGTGTAGACGCACCCTGTTTGTTGTAACTATGTTGGTAGATAGTCAAGATGGCAGTTTCTTGTTCCATTATTAAGGCTAGATACTGGCAGTTGTGTACTCCATGCAATTACAGGAGTTGCAATTTATTTTTAAATAGAAACAGAACAAACCAAAGAAATCTCTCCTGATTTATTCCAATTCTGATTCCATCTCACCTATCTGAGCTTTGGAGAAGATCGGTTTCAGCACCTTCAGGAAGACAGAACACCTCATCTAGAAGGGAAACGAGCTGGTGTCCAGTAAACCACTTGTTGTCTTGTCCTCTCTGAGAAGCAATACAAAAATGCAGAAGAAAGTTAATTAAGTTCAAAACCTGCAATCATTTTGTACAAAAATGATTACACTGAACATGGTCTGAAAATAAAAGCAAGATATTAAAAAAGATTAACTCAAATTACCACAAGCAATCAAAATATGTTCATCTTTTCAAAGTCAGGTGTTTCTCTTCCTGACTTTATTTCCCTTGCCAAGCTGTCCTTTCTATTCTTATCAAAACCAGAAGGTTCTCCTCTGATTTCTACTATTCCCATCCCCACCTTACAACATATGATTTGAGTCTCGTAATGCTAGTAAGCCAGTGTGGGGAAATGCTACTCTCTTCACGTGGTTTAAACATGTTGCAGCACAACTAAGGAACCAGGAATCACACCTGTTAGGGGTGCAATGATAAAGATTTTTTTGGCCGATACTAATGGCTGCTTATTAACCAGCCATATTGGTCAATACCAATCTGATAAACGATATGCAGCAGCCCAGAAGCTTGGAAAGAGCACCCAGCCAGTAAGCTTCTGGGGGAGGAAGGGGTGTGCAGAGCACATCAAGGCTTCAATGGTGAGAGAGGGAGTGGGGTTGGGGTAGCCCATCCTGTAGCCCCATCTCCCAGTGCTGCTGCCACCCACCCTGACCACAGCCCCAGCCCAGCCCCACCACTGGAAAGAGGCCAGCTCAGCCCCCAAACCACAGAGGGCAGCACACCTTTGCCCTGCACACAAATCTGAGGCGCACATGGCCCCCAATCTTTCCATGGGGATGTGCAGAGCAGCAGAAGCCACCCTCCTCCCCACCTCCTGTGGCCCCCCAAACGAGCCTACTGTAGCTCCATCCCATGCCCCAACCCAGCTCGGCAGCACCTGCCCCAGCCCCACTCCCTTCCTCACTCTGTGGGCCTTCATCTGCCCCACCCCACCTCCACACCTCTTTCCCCCCCACACCGACTTACCATCCGGATGCTGCTCTCCAAGCTGCTGGGCTGCATTCCTGGCTGCATGCATGCTGCAGCTGTACACATGCATGTGGCATTTATCGATGACATTATCACACGGCCAAAAAAAGCCGATTGCCGATAATATTCATTTTCCTTTTATCAGTGCCAATACACTATGGACCAATATACTGGTGCACCTCCAACACCTGTATGTCTTATTTTGTGTGTACAGATCAGCACAGCACTAGGTCAATCCCAGAAATTTCTTGTCTATAAATAGGGTGACTATATATCCCGGTTTGGCTGCAACACACCAGTCACTAATCTGAGTACCTATGAGAAGTTTGTGTCTAAATATAAATTTAGGACTGTAACAGAGACTTGATCTCAAATACTGAGCCCTGGCACAAACTTCACTGCCAACTCTGCAAAAAATTCAGCCATGTCTAGTTAACTACCTAATTTTACCCACTTTCACTGAAAAAAAATGGGTTATAGCAACTATAGAAACCTGCTGTACAGTCAGCAACTGAACCCAGATCTCCTGAGTCCCGTCCAGGCCTTACCCATAAGACAATTTTTTTCTGTCCTTTGGATAAAAAACTGCAGAGAGATTCAAATGTCAGTACAGAAACAATATCCTTTTGATACTAAGCGTAAGAAAGAGACTAAAGAAGCTAATGCCCCAAAAGTACTTTTAGGGTAAATCACTGAAAACAGAAGCTTGGAACGAAGCAACTGCATTGGTCAAAAATTACCCCATAGAAAAATTATCATGCAGCATATAACAAACATTTATACACAAAGAAACCAAATAAAGGCACCTCTTAATTCTGTAAATATGCAACAGACTCACCTTTAATGACAAATCAATCTGATTTTTTATATTCTGAATAACATATCCTTCTACACCAGCATGGTTACTTGTCTTTAGTAAACACCTTTAAAACAGAACAATATAAAATAGAGACAGAAAGTATCTACCAGGCTTCAGTACACTTATTTCAAATTTAGGTGGAATCCTGATTTTATTCATGTCAATGGGAGTTTTGTCACTGATTTCAACATGGTTTGGATTTCACCTCTAATCTTCAGAGTAGTACATAAGAGGGCTGTTTTCAATCTCATTTTTAGCATAACTAAAAAACTAAAATCAGTTGCAGTTTTCAAGAAATGAGTATGTTCTAATTAACCTGAGTTACCACATAGCCATCATAATTTCATGCTAAACTACTCTGCATTTAGTATGCAACAAGGCAGACTTTTGTGAAATCTTTTGTATGTACTGGAAGCATACCTGAATAATGTGTATTTTCCCTCTGTGTCAAACTTGTCTATATACAACTGTAATACATTTAAGCTCTTCTTTCTCTAAAGGGAAAAGACTCATATTAAGATATTTGTTCTTAATTAAATTGTAAAAAAATTCAGTACTCAAAACCCACAGGATAATCGTTACATACCAGATCTTCTATAGGGCACAGGGTCATCACTTTCACCAAATCCTGCAGTTGAAAAAAAGTGCATGAAGTTTGGTTTGTACCCAGAGAATGCATACTGTGCAGAACTGACTAAATTCAAGCCCTCTTCTGGTCATAAAATCCAAGAACGTGTATACAGAACTTAAATTTACAAAAGAAAAAAAAAAAGGAAGGGTAAGGTTGAAGTTGCTGTTTCATCCTAAAGTCAAACTATTAGATATAGGGGTACTGAAGGGGTCTCAAACAAAGTAAATGATCTTACAAGTGCTAAGATATGCAGTAAGGCACAGAGGGCAATGTCACTGCTACATAAATAGCAAGATATTTTATATACAAACATAACAAGGACATTTTATACTATAATTAGTTACTAATATAAGAATGAGTCTAAAATGAATACTACTGTACTTTGGAAATTAATTATCTGGAAATGATTAAGCAACTCCACACCCAATACAGAAAGACGAGAATCATCTAAGAATTTGGAAAAACAATGAATTTTTAATTACTATTTTAAGAGCATCAATTTCTATTCTGAAAACTCAAATACCTTTATATAGAAAATAAGACTGTTTGTGTATACTTTTGAAATGATTCTGAACTCTTATTAATTCCTGACAGAACTAAAGAAATCTCTCAGAAAAATGAATTGAACATAAGAATTAAATTCTAAAGAAATTTTGAAAAAAAAATGCTACTACAAGGACAAGAGCAATTAGAATCCAGCTGCATATGCAGTAGCAGACGATCTGAAAATGCTGACAAGCAATCCCACCTAAGTGCTGAGACAATGAAAAGATGACAGCAGCTAAGCTTCTCATATGGGCTCCTTTAGCTCAGGGGGAAAAAATTAAAAAGGTATAAATTTTCAAGTTGAGGATGTAAATGAGAGTGCTCTGCTCCCATCTCTTAATTTCATCAGCAGCATTCATCAATAGCACCCTCATCTAAGATCAGCTGTCCATGTTAATACTGTAGCAACCAGACAAACTAAATGCAACAGCATCAAGCAGCAGCAACTTTCCAATCCAACTTCCCAAGGGTGCGGATGCTGTTGAAGGTGGCAGCAGGTCACAGCCAGGCAGCAGCTCCTGCTGCCAGACTGCTGCAGTGGATAGAAGGTGCAGGGTCCACTCTATGTCAGGGCTGCTACAGCAGTCCAGCTGAAACAGGGGGGTAGTGGTTCCCATACATCAACTGGTTGGGCCTCAGAAGCAAGTACCTCTGAGTTGCTCGCCGAGGCAGGTTTCTATATTGCTGGGGCCAGCACAGGCACTGGCACCAGCCTTCAGCTCCCATTCTCTTTCATTTCAACTTTGCTTTAGCTTTGTTAAATGTTTTTTTAAAAAGCTTCCATTTACAGAGAATAGTTTTCAGACACAAGGTTGACAATTTGTTGTTTCCAACCCTACCCAAATTTATATCAAATTACTAAAGACAGAATTCTTCATCAAAATGCTTCATATAAAAATTGAAATGCAGATAGATGTATGCTAATTTGTCTTTTCTGTTCCCTCACCTCTTCCTCATGCTGCACAGCTTTTTTATGGAGCAAGTGTCACATGCTACAACTGGAGGTAGGTTCTGGAATTTGTTCTGCCAAGCAAGCTACCATGGGGTAGTGGCAGGGAGTCTGAGTCCACTCTCTAATGATGGAAGAAGGATGTTAGTATAACATGTTTCTTAGGATGACTAAGCATTGCAGGCTCCCTGTCTAGCTAATGATTCTGGATAGCAAGGGACAGAACGATTTCAAATCAATCAGAATTTACAATATACGTAAAATAATCTTTTATTAGTCAAATGTAGACATTTCTCTCAAACCAGGAAAAGAGGTAGACATGGCATGTGTTATGATTTAAGGATTTGTTCATACTGCATTCTATTACCTGTGATGCTGTAATGAAGTTCCTGAATTCTAAAAACTGGTGCAGAAGACTATTATTGTCCATTCTCAATAAACAGCTTTCAAATAGATCCTACATGTGAAAAAAATACATTTTAAGGATAACACAATTTTACACTGGTGTAATATATTAATCCAAGGTATGTGAAACACATGACACACTTATACTTGCATGCACATCTGGTGTTCCCAGATGGTACCATAAAACAGGTAGAAATAACAATTTGAAGCTTTTCTCATATGTATGAAGTTAATCAAACACAAGAGGATTTGCAGCACTGGAGCATACCCAATCAAACCTTATGACACTACTGAAATTACGGTATACATTAGTGGGGGCTAATCTTTTCAGCAGGCATGCCACAAATTAGCTTTACACCTTCCCAAGTACCACTCTGATCCCTTTCCCCTACTCAATCTACTGCTTGCTTTCTGCTCCCTGTCCTATGCTTCCTGTCCAAGCTGCTGCTCTGCTTTCTGCTCCCTAGCCTATCTGCCCTTGTGCTGCCTGACCCCACCCCAATTTACTGAATGCCTTACAGAGAAGCTACCCATGCCACTTGTGGCATACAAACCACAGGTTAGCCACCCCTGGTGTATGTTATCATCTTAATCTCTTACAAACAGGGAATGAAGGATATACCCTCCTACAACGAATAAATATACAACCAAACAAAACAGAAAACAAAAAATACTCACAAGTCCTTTAGCCAATATGGATTCTTCTGTCCTGGAAGAAATATAGATATTATCAGTTTAAAAAATGTAAATTAAAAAATAATCTGTTGCAGAATCAGCTAAAACAATAGAGAAGACCATTTTAAAAGGAATTTTCCTGTCACTGGTTCCTTTTCTGCTTCCTATCATCATCATTTCTTAAAACAACTAATTTAAAGATACCAAGTTTAAAAGGTTGTAGATTTGATTCCTCCCTTTGACGTCAGGAACTGATATTTCCTCTCAATATATATATATATATACATGCTCAAAGTCAAACAGGTATCAAGAAGTTAAATAAAAGAAAACAACAAAATAATCTAGGAAAAGTGCCATCTTCAGTCTTCTGCATGCTTTTTGCTAACAGGAGGAGGGAAA